AGAACATTTCTAAAAAGACACTTTCTTTAGATTTCTGTAGCTCTTTGACGTCAAAATTTTGAAACGGAAGTAGAACATCTTCCCCTAAACTGTCACTTTACAGCACAAAAGTTTCTTTAGATTTCTGTAGCTCTTTGACGTCAAAATGTTTTGAAACTGAAGTAGAACATTTCTTCTAAAGGTTGGTGGTTCGAGCCCACCCAGGGACGACACTTTCTTTAGATTTCTGTAGCTCTTTGACGTCCAGAAGTAGAACATCTTCCCCTAAACGACACGAAAGTTTCTTTAGATTTCTGAGCTCTTTTCAAAATATTTTGAAACTAAAGTAGAACATTTCCCCAAAGCTTTGAACATTTTCATCATGAAAATGGAGCAACTGGAATTATCTGTCAGCTTTACAGTCAAAATTAGATTTCAAGGAGCTTTGTGGAAAGCTGTTTTGAAATTTTGAAAGTTTCTTTAGATTAAAAGTAGAACATTTCCCCAAACTGTCGCTTTATAGCGTATTTTCATCATGAAAATGGAGCAACTGGAAATATCTCGAAGCTTGCGCAACTTGCAAGGAGTTCGAGAGTAGTCTCTGTGGCGCAATTGGTCAGCGCGTTAGACTGTTAATCTAAAGGTTGGTGGTTCGAGCCCACCCAGGGACGACACTTTATTTAGATTTCTGTAGCTCTTTGACGTTAAAATATTTTGAAACGGAAGTAGAACATCTTCCCCTAAACTGTCACTTTACAGCACAAAAGTTTCTTTAGATTTCTGTAGCTCTTTGACGTCAAAATGTTTTGAAACTGAAGTAGAACATTTCTAAAGGTTGGTGGTTCGAGCCCACCCAGGGACGACACTTTCTTTAGATTTCTGTAGCTCTTTGACGTCAAAATATTTTGAAACGGAAGTAGAACATCTTCCCCTAAACTGTCACTTTACAGCACAGCACGAAAGTTTCTTTAGATTTCTGTAGCTCTTTGACGTCAAAATATTTTGAAACTAAAGTAGAACATTTCCCCAAACTGTCGCTTTATAGCGAAAGTTTCTTTATTTTCATCATGAAAATGGAGCAACTGGAAATATCCCCAAACTTGCGCTTTAGCAAGCGTATTTTGCATGAAAATGGAGCAACTGGAAATATAAAGCTTGCGCAACTTGCAAGGAGTCGAGAGTAGTCTCTGTGGCGCAATTGGTCAGCGCGTTAGACTGTTAATCTAAAGGTTGGTGGTTCGAGCCCACCCAGGGACGACACTTTATTTAGATTTCTGTAGCTCTTTGACGTCAAAATATTTTGAAACGGAAGTAGAACATCTTCCCCTAAACTGTCACTTTACAGCACAAAAGTTTCTTTAGATTTCTGTAGCTCTTTGACGTCAAAATGTTTTGAAACTGAAGTAGAACATTTCTAAAGGTTGGTGTTCGAGCCCACCCAGGGACGACACTTTCTTTAGATTTCCCACCCAGGGACGACTAAACTTTCTTTAGATTTCTGTAGCTCTTTGACGTCAAAATATTTTGAAACGGAAGTAGAACATTTCCCTAAACTGTCACTTTAGCATTTTCACATGAAAATGGAGTTTCTTTAGAAATTTCTGAAGCTCTTTGCAACGCAAAATAGTTTTGAATTGGTGAAGTAGAACATTTCTAAAGGTTGGTGGTTCGAGCCCACCCAGGGACGACAGTTTCTTTAGATTTCTGTAGCTCTTTGACGTCAAAATATTTTGAAACGGAAGTAGAACATCTTCCCCTAAACTGTCACTTTACAGCACAAAAGTTTCTTTAGATTTCTGTAGCTCTTTGACGTCAAAATGGAGCAACTGAAACTGAAGTGGCGCAATTGGTCAGAACTGTTAGATTCTAAAGGTTGGGTTCGAGCCCACCCAGGGACGACACTTTCTTTAGATTTCTGTAGCTCTTTGACGTCAAAATATTTTGAAACGGAAGTAGAACATCTTCCCTAAACTGTCACTTTACAGCACAAAAGTTTCTTTAGATTTCTGTAGCTCTTTGACGTCAAAATATTTTGAAACTGAAGTAGAACATTTCCCAAACTGTTGACACTTTGTAGCTATTTGCGTCATGAAAATGGAAACTGGAATTACGAGCCCACCCAGGGAAACAGTTTCTTTAGAGCAATTTCAAGGAACATCTTCCCTAAACTGTCACTTTACAGCACAAAAGTTTCTTTAGAGTCTCTTTGACGTCAAAATGTTTTGAAACTGAAGTAGAACATTTCTAAAGGTTGGTGGTTCGAGCCCACCCAGGGACGACACTTTCTTTAGATTTCTGTAGCTCTTTGACGTCAAAATATTTTGAAACGGAAGTAGAACATCTTCCCTAAACTGTCACTTTACCCAGGGAAAGTTTCTTTAGATTCTGCAGCTCTTTGACGTCAAAATATTTTGAAACTAAAGTAGAACATTTCCCCAAACTGTCGCTTTATAGCGTATTTTCATCATGAAAATGGAGCAACTGGAAATATCTCGAAGCTTGCGCAACAACTAGCAAGGATTTCCGAGAGTAGTCTCTGTGGCGCAATTGGTCAGCGCGTTAGACTGTTAATCTAAAGGTTGGTGGTTCGAGCCCACCCAGGGACGACACTTTATTTAGATTTCTGTAGCTCTTTGACGTTAAAATATTTTGAAACGGAAGTAGAACATCTTCCCTAAACTGTCACTTTACAGCACAAAAGTTTCTTTAGATTTCTGTAGCTCTTTGACGTCAAAATGTTTTGAAACTAGAACATTTCCCAAACTGTCGCTTTAGAACATTTCTAAAGTTGGTCAAAATGTTTTGGTTCGAGCCCACCCAGGGACGACACTTTCTTTAGATTTCTGTAGCTCTTTGACGTCAAAATATTTTGAAACGGAAGTAGAACATCTTCCCCTAAACTGTCACTTTACAGCACAGAAAGTTTCTTTAGATTTCTGTAGCTCTTTGACGTCAAAATATTTTGAAACGGAAGTAGAACATCTTCCCCTAAACTGTCACTTTACAGCACAAAAGTTTCTTTAGATTTCTGTAGCTCTTTGACGTCAAAATGTTTTGAAACTGAAGTAGAACATTTCTAAAGGTTGGTGGTTCGAGCCCACCCAGGGACGACACTTTCTTTAGATTTCTGTAGCTCTTTGACGTCAAAATATTTTGAAACGGAAGTAGAACATCTTCCCCTAAACTGTCACTTTACAGCACGAAAGTTTCTTTAGATTTCTGTAGCTCTTTGACGTCAAAATATTTTGAAACTAAAGTAGAACATTTCCCCAAACTGTCGCTTTATAGCGTATTTTCATCATGAAAATGAAAATGGAGCAACTGGAAATATCTCGAAGCTTGCGCAACTAGCAAGGCATTTCAAGGATTTCATGAAAGTCTCTGTGGCGCAATTTGTCAGCGTGTTAGACTGTTAATCTAAAGTTCGAGCCAACCCTCTCTGCAGGCGCAATTTTGGTCAGCGCGTTAGACTGTTAATCTAAAGGTTGGTGGTTCGAGCCCACCCAGGGACGACACTTTCTTTAGATTTCTGTAGCTCTTTGACGTCAAAATATTTTGAAACGGAAGTAGAACATCTTCCCCTAAACTGTCACTTTACAGCACAAAAGTTTCTTTAGATTTCTGTAGCTCTTTGACGTCAAAATGTTTTGAAACTGAAGTAGAACATTTCTAAAGGTTGGTGGTTCGAGCCCACCCAGGGACGACACTTTCTTTAGATTTCTGTAGCTCTTTGACGTCAAAATATTTTGAAACGGAAGTAGAACATCTTCCCCTAAACTGTCACTTTACAGCACGAAAGTTTCTTTAGATTTCTGTAGCTCTTTGACGTCAAAATATTTTGAAACTAAAGTAGAACATTTCCCCAAACTGTCGCTTTATAGCGTATTTTCATCATGAAAATGGAGCAACTGGAATTATCTCGAAGCTTGCGCAACTAGCAAGGAGTTCGAGAGTAGTCTCTGTGGCGCAATTGGTCAGCGCGTTAGACTGTTAATCTAAAGGTTGGTGGTTCGAGCCCACCCAGGGACGACACTTTATTTAGATTTCTGTAGCTCTTTGACGTTAAAATATTTTGAAACGGAAGTAGAACATCTTCCCCTAAACTGTCACTTTACAGCACAAAAGTTTCTTTAGATTTTTAGCTCTTTGACGTCAAAATGTTTTGAAACTGAAGTAGACATTCTAAAGTTTGGTTTCTAAATTAAATGCAGCTCTTGACGTCAAAATATTTTGAAACTGAAGTAGAACATTTCCCTAAACTGTCGCTTTATAGCGTATTTTCACATGAAAATGGAGTTTCTTTGATTTCGAGCTCCGTCAAAATGTTTTGAAACTGAACTAGAACATTAATCTAAAGGTTGGTGGTTCGAGCCCACCCAGGGACGACACTTTCTTTAGATTTCTGTAGCTCTTTGACGTCAAAATATTTTGAAACGGAAGTAGAACATCTTCCCCTAAACTGTCACTTTACAGCACGAAAGTTTCTAGATTTCTGTAGCTCTTTGACGTCAAAATGTTTTGAAACTGAAGTAGAACATTTCCCCAAACTGGTTGGTGGTTGAGCCCAAGGGAGCACACTTTCTTTAGATTTCTGTAGCTCTTTGACGTCAAAATATTTTGAAACGGAAGTAGAACATCTTCCCCTAAACTGTCACTTTACAGCACAAAAGTTTCTTTAGATTTCTGTAGCTCTTTGACGTCAAAATGTTTTGAAACTGAAGTAGAACATTTCTAAAGGTTGGTGGTTCGAGCCCACCCAGGGACGACACTTTCTTTAGATTTCTGTAGCTCTTTGACGTCAAAATGTTTTGAAACTGAAGTAGAACATCTTCCCTAAACTGTCACTTTACACACAGGGACGAAAGTTTCTTTAGATTTCTGTAGCTCTTTGACGTCAAAATATTTTGAAACTAAAGTAGAACATTTCCCCAAACTGTCGCTTTATAGCGTATTTTCATCATGAAAATGGAGCAACTGGAATTATCTCGAAGCTTGCGCAACTGCAAGAGATTTCAAGAGTAGTCTCTGTGGCGCAATTGGTCAGTCTCGCGTTAGACTGTTAATCTAAAGGTTGGTGGTTCGAGCCCACCCAGGACGACACTTTCTTTAGATTTCTTAGCTCTTTGACGTTAAAATATTTTGAAACGGAAGTAGAACATCTTCCCTAAACTGTCACTTTACAGCACAAAAGTTTCTTTAGATTTCTGTAGCTCTTTGACGTCAAAATGTTTTGAAACTGAAGTAGAACATCTAAAGGTTGGTGGTTTTCTTTTGGAGCTCTTTCTTTAGATTTCTGTAGCTCTTTGACGTCAAAATTTTTGAAACTGAAGTAGAACATTTCTAAAGGTTGGTGGTTCGAGCCCACCCAGGGACGACACTTTCTTTAGATTTCTGCAGCTCTTTGACGTCAAAATATTTTGAAAAGAACATCTTTAAACTGTCACTTTACAGCACGAAAGTTTCTTTAGATTTCTGTAGCTCTTTGACGTCAAAATATTTTGAAATAGAACATTTCCCAGACTGTCGCTTTATAGCGTATTTTCGTCATGAAAATGGAGCAACTGGAATTATCTCGAAGCTTGCGCAACTTGCAAGGAGTTCGAGAGTAGTCTCTGTGGCGCAATTGGTCAGCGCGTTAGACTGTTAATCTAAAGGTTGGTGGTTCGAGCCCACCCAGGGACGTATTTAGATTTCTGTAGCTCTTTGACGTTAAAATATTTTGAAACGGAAGTAGAACATCTTCCCTAAACTGTCACTTTACAGCACAAAAGTTTCTTTAGATTTCTGTAGCTCTTTGACGTCAAAATGTTTTGAAACTGAAGTAGAACATTTCTAAAGGTTGGTGGTTCGAGCCCACCCAGGGACGACACTTTCTTTAGATTTCTGTAGCTCTTTGACGTCAAAATATTTTGAAACGGAAGTAGAACATCTTCCCCTAAACTGTCACTTTACAGCACAAAAGTTTCTTTAGATTTCTGTAGCTCTTTGACGTCAAAATGTTTTGAAACTAAAGTAGAACATTTCCCCAAACTGTGCTTTATAGCGTATTTTTTGAAAATGGAGAAGTAGAACAACTCTTCAAAGCGTAGACTGTTTCTAAAGGTTGGTGGTTCGAGCCCACCCAGGGACGACACTTTCTTTAGATTTCTGTAGCTCTTTGACGTTCAAAATATTTTGAAACGGAAGTAGAACATCTTCCCCTAAACTGTCACTTTACAGCACAAAAGTTTCTTTAGATTTCTGTAGCTCTTTGACGTCAAAATGTTTTGAAACTGAAGTAGAACATTTCTAAAGGTTGGTGGTTCGAGCCCACCCAGGGACGACACTTTCTTTAGATTTCTGTAGCTCTTTGACGTCAAAATATTTTGAAACGGAAGTAGAACATCTTCCCCTAAACTGTCACTTTACAGCACGAAAGTTTCTTTAGATTTCTGTAGCTCTTTGACGTCAAAATATTTTGAAACTAAAGTAGAACATTTCCCCAAACTGTTATAGCGTATTTTCATCATGAAAATGGAGCAACTGGAAATATCTCTGAAGCTTGCGCAACTTAGCTAAAGGAGTTTCAGCACAGAAGTCTCTGTGGCGCAATTTAGACTTTAATCTAAAAAAGAGAACATCTCTGTGGCGCAAAAATTTCTAAAGGTTGGTTTCGAGCCCACCCAGGGACGACACTTTCTTTAGATTTCTGTAGCTCTTTAAAAATATTTTGAAACGGAAGTAGAACATCTTCCCCTAAACTGTCACTTTACAGCACAAAAGTTTCTTTAGATTTCTGTAGCTCTTTGACGTCAAAATGTTTTGAAACTGAAGTAGAACATTTCTAAAGGTTGGTGGTTCGAGCCCACCCAGGGACGACACTTTCTTTAGATTTCTGTAGCTCTTTGACGTCAAAATATTTTGAAACGGAAGTAGAACATCTTCCCCTAAACTGTCACTTTACAGCACGAAAGTTTCTTTAGATTTCTGTAGCTCTTTGACGTCAAAATATTTTGAAACTAAAGTAGAACATTTCCCCAAACTGTCGCTTTATAGCGTATTTTCGTCATGAAAATGGAGCAACTGGAAATATCTCGCAAGCTTGCTGCAAGCTGCGCAACTAGCAAGGTGTTTCGAGAGTAGTCTCTGTGGCGCAATTGGTCAGCGCGTTAGACTGTTAATCTAAAGGTTGGTGGTTCGAGCCCACCCAGGGACGACACTTTATTTAGATTTCTGTAGCTCTTTGACGTTAAAATATTTTGAAACGGAAGTAGAACATCTTCCCCTAAACTGTCACTTTACAGCACAAAAGTTTCTTTAGATTTCTGTAGCTCTTTGACGTCAAAATGTTTTGAAACTGAAGTAGAACATTTCTAAAGGTTGGTGGTTCGAGCCCACCCAGGGACGACACTTTCTTTAGATTTCTGTAGCTCTTTGACGTCAAAATATTTTGAAACGGAAGTAGAACATCTTCCCCTAAACTGTCACTTTACAGCACGAAAGTTTCTTTAGATTTCTGTAGCTCTTTGACGTCAAAATATTTTGAAACTAAAGTAGAACATTTCCCCAAACTGTCGCTTTATAGCGTATTTTCATCATGAAAATGGAGCAACTGGAATTATCTCGAAGCTTGCGCAACTAGCAAGGATTTCAAGAGTAGTCTCTGTGGCGCAATTGGTCACCGCGTTAGACTGTTAATCTAAAGGTTGGTTTTGAAGCCCACCAAGGACGACAGTCTTCTTTAGATTTCTGTAGCTCTTTGACGTCAAAATATTTTGAAACGGAAGTAGAACATCTTCCCCTAAACTGTCACTTTACAGCACAAAAGTTTCTTTAGATTTCTGTAGCTCTTTGACGTCAAAATATTTTGAAACGGAAGTAGAACATCTTCCCCTAAACTGTCACTTTACAGCGTATTTTCATCATGAAAAAAAGTTTCTTTAGATTTCTGTAGCTCTTTGACGTCAAAATGTTGTGAAACTGAAGTAGAACTTTTCTAAAGGTTGGTGGTTCAAGCCCACCCAGGGACGACAGTTTCTTTAGATTTCTGCAGCTCTTTGACGTCAAAATATTTTGAAACGGAAGTAGAACATCTTCCCCTAAACTGTCACTTTACAGCACGAAAGTTTCTTTAGATTTCTGTAGCTCTTTGACGTCAAAATATTTTGAAAATAGAACATTTCCCCAAACTGTCGCTTTATAGCGTATTTTCGTCATGAAAATGGAGCAACTGGAAATATCTCGAAGCTTGCGCAACTTGCAAGGAGTTCGAGAGTAGTCTCTGTGGCGCAATTGGTCAGCGCGTTAGACTGTTAATCTAAAGGTTGGTGGTTCGAGCCCACCCAGGGACGACACTTTATTTAGATTTCTGTAGCTCTTTGACGTTAAAATATTTTGAAACGGAAGTAGAACATCTTCCCCTAAACTGTCACTTTACAGCACAAAAGTTTCTTTAGATTTCTGTAGCTCTTTGACGTCAAAATGTTTTGAAACTGAAGTAGAACATTTCTAAAGGTTGGTGGTTCGAGCCCACCCAGGGACGACACTTTCTTTAGATTTCTGTAGCTCTTTGACGTCAAAATATTTTGAAACGGAAGTAGAACATCTTCCCCTAAACTGTCACTTTACAGCACGAAAGTTTCTTTAGATTTCTGTAGCTCTTTGACGTCAAAATATTTTGAAACTAAAGTAGAACATTTCCCCAAACTGTCGCTTTATAGCGTAAGCAACTTTGCAAGGATTTCAAAATGTTTTCTGAAGTAGAACATTTCTAAAGGTTGGTTTGACGCTCTTTTTCTTTAAATGTAGCTTTTGTCAAAATGTTTTGAAACTGAAGTAGAACATTTCCCCAAACCTAAAGTTAAACTGTCAATTTACAGCACGAAAGTTTCTTTAGATTTCTGTAGCTCTTTGACGTCAAAATACAGTTTCTTTTTTGAAACGTCAATAAATATTTTGAAAATAGAACATTTCCCAAACTGTCGCTTTATAGCGTATTTTCATCATGAAAATGGAGCAACTGGAATTATCTCGAAGCTTGCGCAACTAGCAAGGAGTTCGAGAGTAGTCTCTGTGGCGCAATTGGTCAGCGCGTTAGACTGTTAATCTAAAGGTTGGTGGTTCGAGCCCACCCAGGGACGACACTTTCTTTAGATATCTGTAGCTCTTTGACGTCAAAATATTTTGAAACGGAAGTAGAACATCTTCCCCTAAACTGTCACTTTACAGCACAAAAGTTTCTTTAGATTTCTGTAGCTCTTTGACGTCAAAATGTTTTGAAACTGAAGTAGAACATTTCTAAAGGTTGGTGGTTCGAGCCCACCCAGGGACGACACTTTCTTTAGATTTCTGTAGCTCTTTGACGTCAAAATATTTTGAAACGGAAGTAGAACATCTTCCCCTAAACTGTCACTTTACAGCACGAAAGTTTCTTTAGATTTCTGTAGCTCTTTGACGTCAAAATATTTTGAAACTAAAGTAGAACATTTCCCCAAACTGTCGCTTTATAGCGTATTTTCATCATGAAAATGGAGCAACTGGAATTATCTCGAAGCTTGCGCAACTAGCAAGGATTTCAAGAGTAGTCTCTGTGGCGCAATTGGTCACCGCGTTAGACTGTTAATCTAAAGAAAGTCTCTGTGGCGCTGTTTGTCAGCGTGTTAGACTGTCATTCTAAAGTTTGGTGTTT